AAGTACAGGTAGTCCTCGACTTACAACAGTTCGCTTAGTGACTGTTTGAAGTTACAATGGCCCTGAAAAAGTGCCCCCCAAGCCACAGCCGAGCAAGACACCTGCCCGCCCGCCTGGCGGTGCTCTTCCTGCTGTCCGAGGTTTCCATTGTTGGGAGCATTTCTGTTGAGGATTGGCAGTGGGGGCGTTTGGTCCCCCCCCATCTGCTGGGTGGTTGCAACAGGTTTTGGACACTTCCCATGACCCTGGGACACTGTGACCATCATAAATATGAATCAGTTGCCAAGCATCTGAATGTAAACCACAAGAGCCTGGTGATGCTGCAACATTCCAGCTGATCGGCGCTTCTTTTGGGCTCAGCAGAAGTGCCAGGATCAGTGCTGCTTTCCAGCTGATTGGTGCTTCTTCAGGGCTCAGCAGAAGCACCAGGATCAGCGCCGAGCTCCAGCTGGAGCCTAGCACTGATCCTGGCGCTTCCACTGAGCCCTGACAGCCCCCCAAAAACACCAACAGCTGGAAAGCGGCATTAATCCTGGCGCTTCCGCTGAGCCCTGACAGCCCTGCAGCTCCAGCCGTCTCTCGCTCAGGCTTGTGCGGTGCTGCCACCGGTTCAGCTCATTCTCCTCCCCGCCACCATTTTCTACGATGGTCGTGTACCACCTGCCAGGTGCCAATGTACCACAAGTGGTACCCGTCCCACTGGTTGAAAAGCCCTGCTATAGATCATTGAAGGGAGAAGCAGCCTAGAACTAAGGAGAGATTTTTCTGACAGTGACAACAATTAATCCGTGGAAGGACTTGCCTCCAGAAGTTGTGGGTTGAGGTTTTGAGGTTTTCAAGAAGAGATTAGCAGCCATTTGACCAGGATGGTATAGATAAAGTCTCCTGATTGAGTAGGGGGTTAGACTAGGAGACCTCCAAGGGTCCCTTCCATCTCTTTTATTCTGCATTCTCAATGTTAACTCCTGGTGATTGCCAGGAATAATCCCTCTAGTTTCCTTGGTGAGATTTTGGAAGTAGCTTGCAAGACATTTGTCAAAGTGATATCCATAAGCTCACAAAACCTCAAATCCTTTTAGAGCATTGGAAAGAGGGATCAATAAACATTCAGTGATCAGGAAAGCAACCCCCCCCCCAGTGTTCAACAGTACACCCTACCAGATTTCTAAACATTTTAAAACCACTGAGTCTTGCAACTAACGGTGCTGTTTTTAAGTAAAGTTTATACAGGTTAGCAAAAGGAAGATTTTTTAAAAAAGTTCCTTCTTTTCTGAATATTGACGGTTTAAATTAACCCAATTGTTCACTAGTCATATAAAACCGGCTCATAAAACCTGACAAAATTAATTGAGCATCCATCACAAATTCAGCCACCAACTAGATATTTATACTCATGCTGTAAGGATGGGGGTTGCTGTGCTTTGGATGAACGTAAAGCAAATACGCTCCGATTTCCTTAAAATGCTTCCCATTCCAGCCTGCCATTAATTTAATTACATTTAATTAGTATGGCAATAAAAGAGCCACTGTCTTAATTCCCTAGCCTGTCTCCTGGAATTTTATTCCTCAGAGAAGTAGGACAAGTTACCGATGAACAGCTGGATAGGTCTGGGGGACACAAAAGCCTGTCATAATGGATGATATGTCATACACAAGCCGTGTATAGATCGTAAAATTAGCGCCGCTATTAATTACCGCCACCTCTTTCTCCCGTGACTTACACAACATAAAGCAAACGCTTTTACATTCTTGTTCTTTCAGGCAGCAAACACTGTTTAGCGGTAGTCCTTGACTTACACCCACTCATTTAGTGACTGTTCGAAATTACAGTGGCATTGAAAAAAGTGACTGACAGCTGATTCTCGCGCTTACGACGGTTGCAGCCTCCCCACCGTCGTGGGGTCAGGATTCAGGCACTTGGCCACTGGCCTGTATTTAGGATGGTTGTAGAGTTTTAAGGCACTGGGTTAGAACCAGGAGACTGTGAATTCTAGTCCCGCCCTAGTATGAAAGCCGGTTGGGTGATTTTGAGCCAATCACCAGGAGACTGTGAGTTCTAGTCCTGCCTTAGGCATGAAAGCCAGCTGGGTGACTTTGGGCCAATCACCAGGAGACAGGGAGTTCTAGTCCCGCCTTAGGTGTGAAAGCCAGCTGGGTGACTTTGGGCCAATCACCAGAAGACTGTGAGTTCTAGTCCCGCCCTAGTATGAAAGCCGGTTGGGTGATTTTGAGCCAATCACCAGGAAACTGTGACTTCTAGTCCCGCCTTAGGCGTGAAAGCCAGCTGGGTGACTTTGGGCCAATTACCAGAAGACTGTGAGTTCTAGTCCCGCCCTAGTATGAAAGCCGGTTGGGTGACTTTGGGCCAATCACCAGGGGACTATGAGCTATTCCTCTTTTCTTTTGACGTGCTAATGCGAAGTAAAGTTTACCGATTTTCAGTTGCTCTAACAACTTATCATGCTGTCTCTTCATATGTGTTTCTTGAAGACAAATTATATCCATTTTTAATTTTTGTAATGGACTAAATTCTCCTTCAAAAAGGAGAAAAACCTTCACACGATTACAAACATTAAAAATGGATATAATTTGCCTTCAAGAAAATTCTGATCCCAGTTGTGTGTTACAAGCCCAAAACTGCTCTTATTAAAATAGGATTGTTACTCACATTAGTATAGCCTTTCTCTATAATCCACACGTAGTCACCATTCTATTTTACTGCAAACGCCACCCTTTTCCGGCAAGGCCAATAGCTGGGCCTCTTGGATCGGTGTAATTGTCAATTTATTTATGAAATATTAATGGAGTAATTTTAATTGGGGGAAGAGATGAGTGGTGCTGTATAATTGGAAACGCCCTTGCTTATTTTCAGCAAGCAGCTTGGTTCACGTATGCTCATTCCGTAGGGAGGGACAGCGTCGAAATGATTTTTCCATCTCTCAGAAGGGCACCATATTAGAATTTAATCAATAAAATCTGTCATCTCTGTTTCTGTAATGAGCCTTGGTCATCTATAAAGGCATTTAAGCTGATTTTTTTTTCTTTGTCAACGGAAAGGTCTGCTTTGGTACATGAAACTCGTGGGGCTTAAGGAATTTATCCTAAATGAATAATTGTCAAGATTAGTGTAAGAACAGTGAGTAAAAAGCCCAGAGCGTTAGCATGTTATTGCATTCTGCCATCCCGCCCTAAAGTTTAATTATATTTTCTTTTCTGCTGGCAAATATTGTCAGGATATCTGAAAGGTGATCCAGCAATGCTGTTCAGTCAGTCTAATTTGTTTATCCAAAATAATAACAGTAACAACAACAATAACAATAATAACAATAACCAGACCTGGCAATGGCTAAGAACAGGAAAATTGAAGAAAGAGACCGAGGGACTAATTCTGGCTCCACAAGACCAAGCCTTAAGGACAAATGCATATACAGTCAAAAATGAGAAGACAGCAACAGACAGTAAGTGCCGCCTGTGCAAAGAAGCTGAAGAAACAGTGGACCACCTGGTGAGCTGCTGCAAGAAGATCGCACAGACTGACTACAAGCAACGGCATGACAAAGTAGCAACAATGGTGCATTGGAAGATCTGCAAGAACTATCATTTGCCTGTAAGAAAGGACTGGTGGGATCATAAAATAGAGAAAGTCATAGAAAATGATAAAATTAAACTGCTCTGGGACTTCAGAATTCAAACAGACAAGCACCTGCAACATAACTCCCCAGACTTAACAATTGTCGATAAGAAAGACAAAAAAGTCTGGATAGTGGACGTGGCAGTGCCTGGAAACAGCAGAATAGACGAGAAAGAACTGGAGAAGATAACAAAATACAAAGACCTACAAATAGAAATAGAAAGACTGTGGCAAAAGCAAGCAAGGGTAGTACCAATAGTAATAGGCTCCTTGGGTGCAATCCCAAAACAACTGGAGCACCACTTGAACACCATCATCGGCATTGACAAATTCGCTATTAGTCAATTGCAAAAGGCGGCCTTATTAGGAACTGCTTCCATCCTGCGATGATACCTGTAATACCATCAACCATCCACATCTGCCTATCCCAGGTCATGGGTAAGGACTCGATAGGTAGACAAAATGCCAAATCCAGTCTGAACATCTGGCTGACTGTGCGATGATCCATAATAATAATAATATAGCCCCTATGAAATTTGCATCTCAATTTGCCTGACTTTGGATCATGGTAGATCAGAGGTGATTTCCCCAAAAAATAAAAATAAAAATCTATTTATAGCTGCAGGATTTATGTGGTACTCTAAAAAAATGCACAAAATGCAATTACTCAGCTCGGGGACCAAAGAGATGGGGGGGGGGGGAATAAAATAAAAAATAAAACCAGAGAACTGGGAAGTTAATTTTATTCCCGTCATGAGAATGCTCAAAGGGAGTTGTGTGTTTGCCTTGACTCTGGTGGGTTCCCCCCCCCCCCCAATAAATATGGACTTCATGTCTCATATGCTGCAACCTGTTTTGTGGACCTCGTGGGAAATAGCACACAATTACGTGATGAGTTTGAAATTAATCCACGTCTCCTTTATGCCCGGTCATTCTCTATTATTGTTTCTGCTGAAAATGGATGGGAGACACCTTAGCGAAGGCATTTCCCATAAAACCATTGCATTTTATTGAGCAAAAGAGCACTTATTCATGTTATAGAAAATAACCCCCCCCAAAAAACCCCATCCCAGAGACCTACTTTATAAAAATCACAGGAAATAAGCTAGGGTTTTTTTTATTATTCTTTTTTTTTATCTGGCCTTATGACCACATTGGTTAGCTTTGGTATAACACCATTTCCTGGTACTTATCTTTTATAATTTAGCCCAAAGAAACGTTTTGGTTCCCCCCCCCCTTCATTCCTTTAAATGCATTGGGATTTTTAAGGAGAAACTCGTGCCAAAGATTCTGGTATAAAAGTAGGATGTGACATCTATCTTTGGCTTTTCTTTGAAAAAAAGAAAAATTCTATTATTTTTATTTTCAGAAATTTTGGATGGCTGCTTTGGTTGCACGCCGGAATTGATTGGCTGAAAAACTCGCTGAAAAAAATAATAATAATAACCCGAGAAACATCATTGAAAGGTAAGACAGCCCTGGCCTTGTTCTCTCTCTCTCTCTCTCTCTCTCTCTCTCTCTCTCCCTCTCTCTCTCTCTCTCTCTCTTTCTCTGGGAAAAATGTATAGAATTGTAATAATCATATTTAAAGGAATAATTTACGGGGATCAAAACAACGGTTGCTAGAAATAAATGAACAGACGTTTTGAAGCGCAATCATCTGACTTTGGAATGCGCGGTGTGTGTGTTTGTGTGTATTTACTTCTTCATTTTTATGGCTCAGCAGATGGCATCTGGAAATGCGTAGTACTACGGGGGATTTGTAAAAATAAGTAGTTGGGAGGTTCTAAGAAGTTATCCTGGCTTTTAAGTTTTGCACACACAGATAGTCCTCCGCTTTATTGTTGTTGTTGTTAATTGCGAAGTCGTGTCCGACCCATCGTGATCCCATGGACAACGTTCCTCCAGGTCTTCCTGTCCTCTACCATCTTCTGGAGTCCATTTAAGTTAAAAAAAAAAGTGACTTGTAATAACCATTTTTCACACTTACATCCTTTGCGGCATCCCCGTGGTCATGTGATCAAAATTCAGAGGCTTGGCAATTGGCATGTACTTATGACAGTTGCGGTGTCCTGGCATCACATGACAAGCAAAGTTGATGGGGAAAGATTTGCTTAACAACTGTGTTACTAATTGAACAGCTACAGTGACCCACTTATCAACTGTGGCAAGGACGGTCGTAAGATGGAACACAAAAGAACTGTCTCGCTTAGCGAGAGAAATTTTGGGCTAAATTGTGGTCATATGTTGAGGACTACCTGTCAAGACTGATTTGCCCATTCCCCTTGCTCACAGCTGGACCAGATTTTGGTATGGAAAGGTGGGAGGGGTGGTATCTAGGCAACCGGTGAGAGCTTGGTGCGGATAACAACAAGGTCATTAACTCAGGTGTGACTTTTCTTGTCACAAGAAGAAATATTCCTATTGGACAACGTGAACACCCGGTGGGTGAGAGCGAGGGAATCTATTGTTTAATGAAGCAAGCTTTCAAGCGGAAAAACCGGAGCTGGTTTTGCTTTCTTCTGCGCCAATGTAAATTTTCAGTAAAGTATTATACGCTTGGTCAAACCATGTCCCGGGAGTTTCTTTTTTCTGGAAATGTCAACGGGACAGTTGACGGTTGCGTTGCCTTTTCTCGACTTGAGGAAGTCAATTTAGTCCTTTTTGCAAGCTCCGTCATCTTCATCGACGTTTCCCCGTCTGGGTAGTGTCACTCACTAGTGTCACACTCCAGAAGACAGGCTTAAGATACAGGAGGACCTGGAGAGACTTAAACACCGGGCGCTATCTAACAAAATGAAATTCAATGGTGAAAAAAGTAAGGTTCTACATTTAGGCAAGAAAAACCAAATGTACAGGTATAGTATAGGGGGTACCTTGCTCAATAGTAGCAACTATGAGAGGGACCTCGGAGTCTTAGTGGACAATCACTTAAATAGGAGCCAGCCGTGGGCTGCAGCTGCCAAAAAGGCCAACACAGTGCTGGGCTGCATTAATAGAGGGATAGAATCAAAATCACATGAAGTGTTAATACCACTTTACAATGCCTTGGTAAGGCCATGCTTGGAATACTGTATCCAGTTTTGGTCACCACGATGTAAAAAAGATGCTGAGACTCTAGAAAGAGTACAGAGAAGAGTAACAAAGATGATTAGGGGACTGGAGGCTAAAACATATAAGGAACAATTGCTGGAATTGGGTATGTCTAGTTTAACGAAGAGAAGGACGAGGGGGGACATGATAGCAGTGTTCCAATATCTCAGGGGCTGCCATAAAGAAGAGGGAATTAAGCTATTCTCCAAAGCTCCTGAAAGCAGGACAAGAAGCAACGGGTGGAAACTAACCAAAGAGAGAAGCAACCTAGAACTAAGGAGAAACTTCCTGACAGTGAGAACAATTAACCAGTGGAACAACCTGCCTCCAGAAGCTGTGAATGCTCCAACACTGGAAGTTTTTAAGAAGAGACTGGACAGCCATTTGTCCGAAATGGTATAGGGTTTCCTGCCTGAGCAGGGGGTTGGACTCGATGACCTCCAAGGTCCCTTCCATCTTTATTATTATTATTATAAATTAAAATCTTTTCACTTTTCAGCGAATAATACTGCTGTGGCTCAAATTGTCCGCAATGTTACTGCAACCGTCACATATGAAAACAAATTTCCGCAACCTTTTTCTAGTTACCTCTCCATTCTAGATCCCTCCCCCAAATCTTTCTGGTTTCAGTTCCATTTTAATCTTTAAAATCTTCTGAATTAATAATAATACGGGTCTTTCAAAAGCCCTGCAGCAATATTTGTGCATTTATTACACATCCCCGTAGTACAGACTAATCTCTACCATCCAGGATTTGCAGCCGAGCTGCGATTTTAAGGGGATTGCGACATGCAGGTGTGTTCTTCACCTCTGTCATTCTGTCGTCAAGATGGTTTTTTTTTTTTTTTTTTTAGCAAGTCTGCATGTGGAATCACAGAATGGGAAGGGAGCCCAGTGGCTACAATCATTTATTCCAATCAAATGAATGTACAGTGGGGTGTTGTTGTTGTTGTTGTTGTTTTAGCTGTGTGCTTCTGAGCTGGCCGGGCCTATTTTTCTTCCACTGAGCTTCATTTTCATTAGAAAAAGGAGAGAGTTGTGTTGATGGATGTGTCTTCCGCAGCTAGCTCTTAACTGGAGCTCCTTGATTTTGATCGGCTGCGTGTGGTTGTGTGTGTCCCCCCCCCCACACACTTTGGCAGTCTTGCAAGGCAGCCCAAGTGCATTCAAGGGAGGGCAGGGAGAGAGAAGGGAAAGGTCGAAATTAATGATCTGCTTGGAAAAGGCGCGGATATTTTTAGTCTTCCACGGCCTTCCTTCCGAGGCCTTTAGGCTGCGCCAAGCCAGTGGAAACTTGCCCAAGAAGTCTTAATGGGTCCAAATTAAGGGGTTGCAGAATGTATGTCTATATGTATATTACATGTATATTATATGTGGCTCTTTGCACCACTCGTAGCTTTGGGGTCGATACTTATATTTACATAGAGACGCATACATACATACATATGCATGCAGGCCTGCAGGCCAATATGCAAAAACCTGAACAGCTTAATGGATGCTATAGTCATTATTATTTAGCCTAGTGGGGCTGGCTTTATTTGTTGGTTGGTTGGTTTATTATTTATTTAATTTCTGTATCTACCATCACAGTCTGGTTCACTCTGGGAGGCAGACAATATCGCAACAATGAAAACCGTAAAAAAAAAATAAATACCGGTATACACGGACAATTGAGAATGATATTATTTTTATTTGCTTTTTTCCCATCATCTTTTGAAAAAAAAAAGAGAGTGATGATTCTTCTTCTTCTCCTCCTCTTCTACCTCCTCTCCTGCCCCTCCCTCTCTCTCTCCCTCGCCTGTCCCTCCTCTTCCTCCTCTCCCTCTCCCTCCTCTGCCCCTCCCCCCTCTCTCCCTCCCTGTGTCCCTCCTCCTCCTCTCCCTCTCCCTCCTTCCCCTGCCTCTCCCCTGCCTCCCTCTCTCCTTTTCCCTCCTCCTCCTCCCCCCAGCCCCTCCTTCCCACTCTCTCTCTCACCCTTTCCTTCCTCCTCCCTCTCCCTCCACCACTCTCTCTCCCTCTCCCTCCTCCTCCTCCCCCCAGCCCCTCCCTCCCACTCTCTCTCTCACCCTTTCCCTCCTCTTCCCTCTCCCTCCTCCATCACCTCCTCCTCTCCCTCCACCACTCTCTCTCCCTCTCCCTCCTCCTCCTCTCCACTGCCTTTGCTCCTCTCTCTCTCCTTTTTCCTCCTCCTCTCCCACTCTCTATCCCTCATCCTTTCCCTCCCTTCTCCCTCCTCCTCTGCCCCTCCCTCTCTCTCCCTTCCTCTGTCCCTCCTCCTCTCCCTCTTCCTCCTTCCCCTGCCTCTCTCCTGCCTCTCTCTCCCTTACCCTTCTCCTCCTCCTCCCCCCAGCCCCTCCTTCCCACTCTCTCACCCTTTCCTTCCTCCTCCCTCTCCCTCCTCTATCACCTCCTCCTCTCCCTCCACCACTTTCTCTCTCCCTCTCCCTCCTCCTCCTCTCCTGTGCCCCTGCTCCTCCCTCTCTCTCCCTTTCCCTCCTCCTCCCCATCCCCCACCCTTTCCCTCCTCCCTCCCTCTTCCTCCTCCCCTGCCCCTCCCTCTCTCTCTCCCTCACGCTGTCCCTCCTCCTCCTCTCCCTCTTCCTCCTCCCCTGCCCCTCCCTCTCTCTCTCCCTCACGCTGTCCCTCCTCCTCCTCCTCTCCCTCTTCCTCCTCCCCTGCCCCTGACTCTCTCTCTCCCTCACGCTGTCCCTCCTCCTCCTCCTCTCCCTCTTCCTCCTTCCCCTGCTTCTCCCCTCCCTCTCTCCCTTTCCCTCCTCCTCCTCCTCCCCCAGCCCCTCCCTTCCACTCTCTCACCCTTTCCCTCCTCTTCTTCTCCTGTTCCCTGCTCCTCCCTCTCTCTCTCCCTTTCCCTCCTCCTCTCCATCCCCTTTCTCTATCCTCCACCCTTTCCCTTCTCCCTCTCCCTCTTCCTCCTCCCCTGCCCCTCTCTCTCTCCCTCACCCTGTCCCTCCTCCTCCTCTCCCTCTTCCTCCTTCCTCCTTCCCCTGCCTCCCTCTCTCCCTTTCCCTCCTCCTCCTCCCCCAGCCCCTCCCTCCCACTCTCTCACCCTTTCCCTCCTCCTCCTCTCCTGTGCCCCTGCTCCTCCCTCTCTCTCTCTCTTTCCCTCCCCCTCCCCATCCCCTTTCTCTATCCCCCACCCTTTCCCTCCTCCCTCCTCCCTCTCCCTCTTCCTCCTCCCCTGCCCCTCCCTCTCTCTCACCCTGTCCCTCCTCCTCCTCTTCTCCCTCTTCCTCCTTCCCCTGCCTCTCCCCTCCCCCTCTCTCTCCCTTTCCCTTCTCCTTCCCCACCCTCTTTCTCTCTCCCTCACCCTCTCTCCCTCCCCTCCCCATCTCCTCTTTGTGCAACCCCTGAGA